CTGCTGGAAGTGAAAAACCCTTTCCTTTATACGACTAATCACCAGCAGTCTGTCAGTATATACCTATATTTCATGTATCCAAGGAACATGTCTAAATATCTCAAAATTAAATATGCCCATTTAGGGTTTTGGCAGGTTGTACAATGCATAACAAGCCCTGCATCTGTGTGTGTCAACTTTGCATGGATAAACAAATCTGAGGCTAATTTATTTTATTTATTTATTTCCCGTATTTGTATCCCGTCACTTCTCAACTCCCGAAGGGGGACTCAGGACGGCTTACAATGTGCCCCATTACAAGGCCGCTACATGACAATTACAATAATAAAATCACAATTGGACACAAATCATAGTTAAACAATACATAAGCAATCATTAAAACAGTAAAACAGTCTTGTCAGCCATATTGTCATTCCAGTCATGTCCCTCTAAAGTGCTGCTATATCTATTGTCTGAAAGCCTGGTCCCAAAACCATGCCTTTAATTTCTTTCGGAAAGCCAGGAGAGAGAGAGCTGATCTTACCTCTGTTGGGAGTGTGTTCCATAGGTAGGGAGCCACCGCCGAGAAGGCCCTGTCTTTCGTCCTCGCCAGATGCATTTGTGCTGTTGACGGGAGCGAGAGCAGGGCCTTCCCGGATGATCTTAGATTACGAGGTTGGCCGTAGGGGTGGATGCGTTCGGACAGGTAAGATGGGCCAGAACCGTATAGAGCTTTATAGGTCAAAACCAGCACTTTGAATTGGGCTCGGAGATGGATCGGCAGCCAGTGGAGCTGGCATAACAGGGAGTGGTATGTTCCCTGTATGCTGTCTGCCCAAGAATATGATTGATGTCCCTTCTACATTGCCATATAAAATCCAGATTATCTGCTTTGAACCAGATTATATACCAGTGTAGACTCATATAACCCTGTTCAAAGCAGATAATGTGGATTGTCTACTTTGATAATCTTCATTATATGGCAGTGTAGAAAGAGCCAGAGTCACACTGGAGGGTTTAGAAAATTAGAGGACCTATTTGTCAGACATGGATACATGAAACCCATGGATACAGAGCTCATACTGTTCTGTTCCCTAATGGGAAGGCTACAGTTGGTTATAATGAGTTTGTAATCTTAATGTTGGATGTTATCTCAAAAGCATAAATTCAAAATAAATATTGTTCCAGCCAGTTGACAAAATGGTGAGATCAAACCCTCTGTAACAGTCTCCCTCACACATACAAGCCCCGGTGACCTGACCTTTTAAAGATATCAATAACTTTGTGGGATTTAGACATAATACTAAGGGCCCTTCTACACTGCCATATAATCCAGAATATCAAAGCAGATAATCCACATTATCTGCTTTGAACTGGATTATCTAAATTTACACTGCCAGATAATCCAGCTCAAAGCAGACATTCTGGATTATGTGTTTGTGTGGAAGGACCCTCAGTCTCTTTGTTTATCTCGTTTAGCCAATGGTACTTTTTTTGGATGTTACTCTTCACTGGTTAAAATCTTTGATCCATCAGCAAACCAATTCTTTATTTCAGTATGTGTAATTTTTCTATAAAGCCATCCAATAAAATGCGGTATATTTGAACAAAATGTTGAACATTATAAAACAACAAACAGGAACAAAAGTCAATCACCTTTGCCTTCTGCTTTTCCTTTGTCGCATTCCCACTTAAAATAAATCTTGGATCTGCATCACTTTTAAAACCTCACTATGTTTATTCTAGGACCCTTCCACACAACTATATAACCCAGAATATCAAGGCAGATAATAATAATAATAATAATAATAATAATAATAATAATAATAATAATAATAATGTTGTTTGTTGTTTATTCATACAGTCGCTTCCGACTCTTTGTGACCTCATGGACCAGCCCACGCCAGAGCTCCCTGTCAACTGTTACCACCCCTAGTTCCTTCAGAGTCAATCCAGTCACTTCAAGGATAACATCCATCTATCTTGCCCTTGGTCGGCCCCTCTTCCTTTTTCCTTCCATTTCCCCTAGCATCATTGTCTTCTCTAAGCTTTCGTCTTCTCACTATGTGGCCAAAGTATTTACCTTTGCTTCTACTATCCTTCCCTCCAATGAGCAGTCAGGCTTTATTTCCTGAAGTATGGACTGGTGGGATCTTCTTGTGGACCAAGGCACTCTCAGAATTTTCCTCCAGCACCACAGTTCAAAAGCGTCTATCTTCTTTCGCTCAGCCTTCCTTATGGTCCAGCTCCTTAAGCCGCTCCTCATAGGGCTTGTTCTCCAGACCCTTGATCATCTTAGTCGCCCTCCATAGGTTACTATGGGAATACCATTGCTTTAAGTATGCGGATCTTCATTGCCAGTGTGATGTCTTTTCACTATTTTATCGAGATTGGTCGTTGCTTTCCTCCCAAGAAATAAATATCTTCTGATTTCCTGGCTGCAGTCTGCATCTGCAGTAATCTTAGCTGCTAGAAGTATCAAGTCTGTCATTGCCTCCATGTTTTCTCCCTCTATTTGCCAGTTATCAATTAGTCTGATTGCCATAATCTTGTTGTTTTTTTATGTTTAACTAAAACTGATGGTCTAGAACAGGGGTCCTCAAACTTTTTAAAGTACGTGTGAAAAAGATCTTGGAGTCCTCGTGGACAACAAGTTAAACATGAGCCAACAATGTGATGTGGCGGCAAAAAAAGCCAATGGGATTTTGGCCTGCATCAATAGGAGCATAGTGTCTAGATCTAGGGAAGTAATGCTACCCCTCTATTCTGCCTTTGGTTAGACCACACCTGGAATATTGTGTCCAATTCTGGGCACCACAATTCAAGAGAGATATTGACAAGCTGGAATGTGTCCAGAGGAGGGCGACTCAGATGATCAAGGGTCTGGAGAACAAGCCCTATGAGGAGCGGCTTAAGGAGCTGGGCATGTTTAGCCTGAAGAAGAGAAGGCTGAGAGGAGATATGATAGCCATGTGTATAAATATGTGAGAGGAAGCCACAGGGAGGAGGGAGCAAGCTTGTTTTCTGCTTCCTTGGAGACTAGGATGCGGAACAATGGCTTCAAACTACAAGAAGGAGATTCCATCTGAACATGAGGAAGAACTTCCTGACTGTGAGAGCCATTCAGCAGTGGAACTCTCTGCCCCGGAGTGTGGTAGAGTCTCCTTCTTTGGAAGCTTTTAAACAGGCTGGATGGCCATCTGTCAGGGGTGATTTGAATGCAATATTCCTGCTTCTTGGCAGGGGGTTGGACTGGGTGGCCCACGAGGTCTTTTCCAGCTCTTTGATTCTATGATTCTATGATTCTATGAAGGACTCAGTGCGGCTTACAAGAGGCCGAGCCCAAATACAACAATAAAACAACAACAACAATACAGCAAAATAAATAAAAAAACAAAGCAATAACATTAACAACACACAATGACGCAATTTAAAAACCATAGCAGGGCCATGTTTCTTCCAGCAATTTTTACCCCAGCCTTGCATTTGTCAAGCCCCGCATATTGCATGATGTGTTCTGCATACAAGTCGAATAGGTTGGGTGAGAGTGTTCAACCCTGCCGTACGCCTTTCCCAAACTTGAACCAGTCTGTTGTTCCATGGTCAGTTCTTACTGTTGCTACTTGGTCATTATACAGATTCCTCAGGAGATAGACAAGATGATTTGATATGCCCATACCACTAAGAACTTGCCACAATTTATTATGATCCACACAGTCAAAGGCTTTAGAATCTATATAAATAAAAATGTAATGTTAGTTTGTGGGATTAATGTAACTCAAAAACCACTGGTTGAATTGACACCAAATTTGGACACAGTACACCTCTCAGGCCAACAAGTGACCATCACTCATAAAAAACACTGAAAAGCACATAATAATAATAATAATAATAATAATAATAATAATAATAATAAACAAACATTTATTTATACCCCGCTAACATCTCCCGAAGGACTCGGTGCGGCTTACAAGAGGCCGAGGCTCAACACATCAATAAAACAACAGCATAACAAATACAACAATAAATAAACTCATAAAACAAGCAATAAACATTAAAACAATAGCAATAAACATTAGACAATAACACCATGACACATTTAAAACTAAGGCCAGGCCAAATGTAATTATTAAAATTTTAAAATGCTGAACATGACAGGTGAGATGGATAGGTTTTTGGAGATAAGTGCGGTGTGCAGACAATCTTAAATCTCTAGTAAAGTGCAATTGGGATATGATGCTAGGAGTTTTCTATTCTGGGAAGCCACACTGGAACAACCACGTCTTCAAGCTCTTCCTAAAGACTGCCAAAGTTGGGGCTTGTCTGATAAAGAAGAGACTTAAAAGCCAAAAAACAAAACAAAAACAATACAACAGATGTGCAAAACCACATATGTACATGCAAACACACATATACACAAATATAGACACACAAAACACATATATACAGACTGGACGACAGCAATGCGTGGCAGAGGATGGCTAGTAGTCAATAAAACAGAAATAGATGTTTTTCTGAAAACCTAACAGCTGGTAAACTGGCAAGGATTGCTGGGAGTTGTAGGCTGAAACTCAAGGCCATGATAATATATAGACTAAAATACATAGATTAGAAGACATTAACATCATAGGTAAAGGTTTCCCCCTGACATTAAGTCCAGTCATGTCCGACTCGGGTGTGGTGCTCATCTTCATTTCTAAGCTGAAGAGCCAGCGTTGTCCATAGACACCTCGAAGGTCATGTGGCCGGCATGACTGCATGGCTCCTGGTTAAGTCTATTAGACCTGGGCAAACTTCGGCCCTCCAGGAATTTTGGACTTCAACTCCCACAATTCCTAGGGAGTTAAAGTCCTAAACCCCTGAAGGATCAAAGTTTGCCCAGGTCTATTGTCAAGTGTGCAGTTTTAGTCAATGGGACCAGACAGCACCGCTTCCCTGCTTGGAGCTTGGCCTTGGGAGGCTGTCCCACGTGACAGGCAGGGAGAGAGACGCGCATGCGCCGTCGCGGCCTCTCCTCGCCCTACTGACTCTCGGCCTGATCATGGCGGCCGGCGGGGCGGGCGGAGACCTGGGGGCGGCTGCCTCCCCGTTGCTGGGCTGGGAGCGGGAAAATGCGGCCTGCGAGGCGGCGGAAGGTAGGACTGGAGTAGAAGTGAAGCGGAGGGATACCTTAGAGCGGGAGGAAGGAGATGCTTGAAAGGGGGAGAGCATCTACTCCAGGCATGGGCCAATTTGGGCCCTCTGGGTCTTTTGTACTGCAACTCCCACCATTCCTAACTGCCTCAGGCCCTTTTCTTTTCAGCTTCTTAAGAGGCTGAGGGGGAAAAGGAAGGAGCCTGAGGCTGTTAGGAATGATGGGAGTTGGAGTCCAAAACACCTAGAGGGCCCAAGTTGGCCCATGCCTGTTCTGCAATGTAGAATGAATGCAGTTTGGCACCACTTCAACTGCTATGGCTCAAAGTTATTGAATTATGGGAATTGCAGTCTTGAAACTTTACTGCTGGAGACTGTGAGTGTCCCCCACCAAACTACAACTCCCATGATTCCATAGCATTGAGCCATGGTAGCTCAAAGTGGTGCCAAATTGCTTTAACTCTACAGTGTAGCTGCATCCATTAGGCAAAGTGTACAATAGCTAAGGAAATATTTGAAAGTTATTGTTTTAAATGACAAGTGCCCTACTTGATTTTAGTGGCAATTGTCTTCGGTTTCCAAGAAAGGCAGTGATGGATGTAAGGAACAAGGCGCTTGCTATGTTAAGGGGTGACACATGGTAATATGGATTCGGACAAAGTAAGGGCCCTTCCAGACAGGCCCTATATTGCAGTTTCTGATCCCAGGTTTTCTGCTTTAAGCTGAATTATATGAGTCCATACTGCCAAATAATCCGGAATAAACAGAAAAGCTGGGATCAGGTCCTGGGATATGGGGCCTCTCTCGAAGGGCCCTTAGATGGGGCTTGTTTGTTTTTTTGGTCGTGTCAGGAGCGACATGAGAAACTGCAAGTCGCTTCTGGTGTGAAAGAATTGGCCGTCTGCAAGGACATTGCCCAGGGGACGCCAGATGTTTTTGATGTGCCCTGTTTTTTTGGTCGTGTCAGGAGCGACTTGAGAAACTGCAAGTCGCTTCTGGTGTGAAAGAATTGGCTATCTGCAAGGACATTGCCCAGCAGACACCGGATGTTTTTGATGTTCCATCCTTGTGGGAGGCTTCTCTCATGTCCCTGCATGAGGAGCTGGAGCTGATGGAGGGAGCTCATTCGCACTCTCCCCAGATTTGAACCTGCAACCTGTCCATCTTCAGTCCTGCTGGCACAAAGGTTTAAACCCACTGCGCCACCGGGGGCTCCTCTTAGATGCGAATTCCCCAGTGTTTGTTCCAGGGTTGGTAATGAGAAGGAATGAATATATGGGGAGGCTAAAAAGAAAGCCAGGAGTCCCCGTTGGTGCAGTGGGTTAAAGCGCTGAGCTGCTGAACTTGCTGACTGAAAGGTCGCAGGTTCAAATACGGGGAGCAGGGTGAGTTCCCACTGCTAGCCCCAGCTTCTGCCAACCTAGCAGTTTGAAAACATGCAAATGTGAGTAGATCAATAGGTACTGCTCCAGCGGGAAAGTAACAGCGCTCCATGCAGTCATGTTGGCCACATATCCTTGGAGGTGTCTACAGTCAATGCTGGCTCTTCGGCTTAGAAATGGAGATGAGTACCACTCCCCAGAGTCGGACATGATTGGACTTAATATCAGGGGGGAAACCTTAACCTTAAAGAGAAAGTCATGGATGTATTGCACCAGTGGGTTTTGGAGTTTTCTTCAACAGCCATATGTATGTTCCTCTGCTCCTGAAAGCCTTCCTATTCATTATGAAAATATTTGCAGGTTATGTCTTAATTCAGACAATGTTTGTGGTGTATTCATGAAGTCATGAAGATGGACAGCTTTGGCATGTTGTCAGTCCATATGGAGACAGGATTTACCTTGCTTTTTTTCCTTGATAGAGGACCAGTTGTGTCATGTGTTCTACTGAGAGTTCAGTTTGCAGTACATAAATATTTCACAGATGTAATGAATTTCATCTTGCCATATTCTCTTTCTGTGAAAAACCATTGAAAGAAAAAAATTGACAAAGCACATTTCCCTCAAACTGTTGAGGGGCCGGATTATAATTTGAAAAAAAAATGAATGAATTCCTATGCACACTGCACATATCTTATATGTAGTGCAAAACACACTTAAACACAATACAATAATTAAAATGAAGAACAATTTTAACCAATATAAACTTATTAGTATTTCAATGGGAAGTATGGGCCTGCTTTTGGCTGATGAGATAGGATTGTTGTTGTTGTTGTTGTTGTTGTTGTGTGCTTTCAAGTCATTTCAGACTTAGGTTGACCCTGAGTGAGGGCCAGGTAAATGACCTCGGGCCTTAATTTGAGGACCCCTGGTCTAACGTGTCAGAGCCTGTAAAAAGATTGAATAAAAATCAACACAGATGTTTGACACTGAGCTGTTAGAATATCATATGTCAAGGCCATTTCAGTGGAGTGACTTATATGAAACCCTGATCAAAATGAGTCAAGATCATGCATAGTCAAATAAGGCATCCGTTTCTCTATTTCTGTGCATCTACATACTTCAGAATAAGGAAAATAGAGTGGGGGCAATTGGCTATTATCTCCAAGCAGTAAGAAGGCCAACATGTAGATGTGTGTTAATAATAGTTTCTGATGTGCTCCTGAGAATAGTTTCATTTTATTTGTGCTTGTGGTAAGGTTGTGTTTAGCATTGTTACAGCTACATTTTTGTTGCTAACCATGCCGACTGCTACATGTATAAACTTGCACCAAAATTGTTTCCTTCCTTTATTGTTGCATTGTTTCCTTCCTTTATTGCATTCTACTTTTTCTTCAAATGAAATCCAAAATTATTTTGTTGTTAAATATGCAGCATAGAATCATTCAAAACCTGAATCGAAAATTTGAAAAGATGGGAAGGGAAAAGAAAAACATTGAAGCTTTCTTCTTTGTCCATCTCAGCTAACACTTCACTTGGATGTAAATAAGAAGCTCTGGCATGCTATCAGTCTTCTGCATCCCTGTGTTTTGTTTTGTTTTGTTTTTGAGAAGGAGCTGTCCCTGAGTATCCAAGAGCAGATGCTGCTCATCTGCTTTTTGGGTGTGCGTACTGCTCATCCAGGGACAGCCAGAAGGCTGAAGCAGATGCATGCAGTAATGTTTCTGACTTGGAGAGCCTGGGCACTGAAAAATTTTATTATTTAAAGAAGGAGCCCCCTGTGGCGCAGTGGGTTAAACCCTTGTGCCGGCAGGACTGCTGACTGAAAGGTTGGCAGTTTGAATCAGGGGAGCAGGGTAAGTTCCTGTCTGTCAGCTCCAGCTCCTTGTGCAGGGACATGAGAGAAGCCTCCCACAGAAGGTAAAACATCCGGGCGTCCCATGGGCAACATCCTTGCAGACGGCCAATTCGCTCACACCATAAGTAACTTGTAGTTTCTCAAGTTGCTCTCTGTTTAAAGAGGCAAAACTTCTTTTGTAGCATAAAAGATCCCTGTAATGGAGATCCAACTGTGTAAACACCCTGCTTGATGGTCCTGTAGATCCGCGACAATTTAAATTTCTGTGATTAAATTCCCTGTTTATATCCAAGCCAAATTTTGTTCAACTTGGATCTTACCTGACAGCTCTACATAAGGTCAAAGTGCAGTGCCTGGGGTAATTTTCTCACACTTGACCACATTATATTTACAGTTGTACTAGAAGATAAAAAGAGGAGTGAAGATAAAAAATGGCGGGCCTCCCATTTTACAATGGGAGTGTACCTTGTACAACACATAAACCTTAGAGTGTACAGTCCTAAAAGTATTCATAAATAAGTCCCATAGTGCTCAGTAGAACTTATTTCTAGTAAATGTTCTTTGGATTGCAGCTAATGACAGTTGCTCAACATGTGTCTTTCTGGGAGTTCAGAAGCGAGCTAAGTCTCTTGATTATCTCTCTAAAATGTCTAATTTAATGACCGATTAAAATATTGTCTTACTTTTGACAGGCATTTCCTTTCTGGGGTAAAAGGAAAGTGTATTTTGCTGTTTTCTGGGGCTGGGAATAGGGTTAGGCAATGCTTGTAGGGTTAACTTCTGAATGCCAGCCTTGCAGATTAAAATAATATTTCTGCTAACTCTTACAGACTTGTGTATAAGAAGAAAAAGGGGAAAAATAAACCCAGATAAAAAGCCAGCAGTTTCATGTGCTTTGCTCACTGGGAGTCATTGCTGCAGCCTTTGTTAACTGTCTTTGTAGATTCTGTAACACTTAATTAGCATGAAAGAAGCAGTTTGACCATCAACAATTTTGATTGGTCCAGGACACACATAAACAAAATGTTTTCTCTATGATGTCTTCGAGATTAGGCAGAACTACCTTGGATGCTGAAGTGCTTATATAATTCATTCTTGCAATACACCTGCTGGGACTGTGTGCTCACTTCCTTGTATCCTACCATCACAGCATTGTCAAATTGAGACCCCAACTACACTGATCATTTAAAGCTGTTTCAAACTGGTATTGAAGAAAGCGTTTTCACTGTGCAGATGATTTTATAGGACATTCCGGAACCAGCACAAAGCCCAAATGATGATCATACTAACAAAAGAGCTCATTAAGGGATTTATTTTGGGTGCTTTTGTGGGAGTTTGGTTTGGTATGATATTAAATGGTCAGTGTTGATGTGGCTTCAGACAGATCATTCTTAAGGGCCTGGAAACAGCATGATTAGCAGCAGTTGTTTTTCATAGAACTGCAAGAATATAACAGATATTCAGAAGATTTGACAAAGAAGACATGATGACACTGTAATACTTGCTTTTGCTGGGGGAGTAGCATGGGGTGAGGAGGGCAAATGAAGGTAGGTTCTACTCACTTGAATGCAGAACAAATCAGCCTTGTGTTTATTTTTTTAATTTCAAAAAACCCTGGTAGCTTAAGGCAAGTGAGTGAACTGGCTGTGCAGAAATGTTCTTCCGCTATACCCAGCACAGAAAATGAGCAAGCTGCTAGACCATGGGAAGATACCATCCCCACATCAGCAGAGAAATGCAGCCTCTAATCCCAACCGTGCAAATGTTTTCTTTTCTACAGTGGCAACTTTTGGAGGCATATTTAGAAATATAAGAAGCCGTGTTATGTTAAATAAGTAAGACTATTGTCCCATTGAAATTTCTATTTAAATGAAGTTGTCAAAAAGTGGTATTTTGTTTATGAGACATGTGCTCCACTAACGAGCTAAATGCATGTATTTCTTTGGTTCTAAGGCCCCTTCCACACAGTGGATAAAATCGCACATTATCTGCTTTGAACTGAAAAATATGGCAGTGTAGACTCAGATAAATTAGTTCAAAGCAGATATTGTAGGATTTTCTGCTTTGATAGTCTGGGTTATATGGCTGTGTGGAAGGGCTCTAAGGCACACTTTCCCCTATATAAACATCTTTAAAAGTGGGGTGCATCTTAGAATCGCTGGGGTGCAGATAGATAGATAGATAGATAGATAGATAGATAGATAGATAGATAGGACTTCCATTAGTGATACTGAAATTAGGACCCTTTCACACAGCCATACAACCCAGAATATTAAGGCAGAAAATCCCACAATATCTGCTTTGAACTGGTTTATCTGAGTCCACAATGCCATATATTCCAGTTCAAAGCAGAAAGTGTGGGATTTTTTTTATTCAGCTGTGTGTAAGGGGCCTTAGCATGTGTCTTACAATTGATGGCATCTTAAAATCATAAAAATATGGTATATTTCCATGTCTACATTTGTTTTAAGAACTGGTGCCTGTTTGTTTTTATAAACCATAGAACAGCTTTTAATCAGAATTTCTTTACTTAGGAGTGAAAGCTGGAACCTGTACCATCTTAGATGTTGTGGAAAATCTCGGGTAAGTGGAACATTGGCTTTAACAGGAATATTTAGTTTCTATGAAAAAGTTTTACGCTGATACAAACATAATAAACATCTACTCTTTGGGTGCATCACACCTGCCTCTTATTTGCTGTTTACAATGCATGTTTTTGACCTAGAAGATTACATTAAGGGCCCTTCCACACAGCCTTATAACCCAGAATATCAAGGCAGAAGATCCCACAATATCTGCTTTGAACTGGTTTATATGAGTCCACACCGTCATATATTCCTGTTCAAAGCGGATATTATGGGATTTTCTGACTTGATATTCTGGGTTATGGGGCTTTGTGGAAGGGCTCTGAGTATCTTTTGATTTTAGAATAGTTCTCTAGGGTGGGTGGTGATGGTGTTTACTTGGTTGTTATCCTGGTAATTAAGAATGTATTCAACTACATTATGTAATTGAAGACTTCCTTCTACATATTTTCTTAGTCTTCCCATCAATTATGTAGTATTTCGGGAGTGAAGAGCTGTCTTTAATGAAGGGCTGTGCTCTTTCTAGTTCCCTTTTAGACACTTAGGTAAACTTCAGAATGCTCTTGTGAGTTAATTCATGAGCTAGGATCTTAGTTTTGTGAGATGACAAGGATGAACATTCCTCAATATAGCACAGTGGGTGATTGTGAGTCATAAACCAGGAAATTTCTAAAGGAAGCCACAGACTTGTGTGGAGGCAAGCAACTATTCACGCAGCCTCATTCTTTTGACCTCCTTATCTTTGATGTATTTGGATATTGCTTAGACAGGAATTGGCCTGGAACCATAAAATAAAGAAGTATTTCACCTTCTGGAATTCACCCTGCAAAAATCTAAACAAGGGCTCTTCCACACTGCCCCTTTACCCCAGGATCCGATCCCAGATTATCTGTTTGTCCAAGGTTATCTGGTACTGGGGACTCAGGCCCCTTCCACACGGCTGAATAAAATTCCACATTTTCTGCTTTGAACTGGAAGAAAGTGCAAGTCGCTTCTGGTGTGTCAGAAGTTTGTTGCTCAGGGGATACCCAGATGTTTTACCATCCTTGTGGGAGACTTCTCTCATGTCCCCGCATGGGGAGCTGGAGCTGGCAGAGAGAGCTCATCTGAACTCTCCCCAGATTCGAACCTCTGATCTGTCGGTCTCGATCCTGCCAGCACAAGGGTTTCATCCACTGTGCTACTGGGGGCTTCTAATAAATACATTTAAAATAGCCTTTAAAACTCACAGATCTTGTTCTCGGCCCCCCTTGAATCTCACCCACACTTTCCCAGCAGCACGCCCCTTATTCTTCCCCAAATGCCTGCTGGCAGAGGAATGTTAGTCATTTGTTCTGTCTTGCTCTCTCTTTCTCAATGTGGAACATTTATTTGTTGCACTTTATTTTTCATTCATGGTTAACACTTTCCCAAGATCCTTATATGATCCTGCCCTCATTTGCTGTCAGTGGGTTCATGGGTAGGAAGCACCTGGAAGCTCCAGGCACTGGGGCTTGTTGTTCTTTTCTATCCTGTTTTCAGTTACGTGGTAAGTATCACTTTTGAATCTGTAGGGTTTCCTTAGTCAACAGCAATATCCCTTCCCTAGTAAAGAAGGGGACTGGAGTAAGAAAAGCATTGTCCTCGTGGTTTTCTAGAAGATAGAATTGACATAGGTACAATAAAGGTACTGCATGTATTTTCTCATTGGAGTGTTTGTATTGACCCATTTATAATTGAATAATGCAGTGGTTCTCACCCTATGCATCCCTAGGTGTTTTGGCTTGCGGTCTCCCAGAAATCAAAGCCAGTTTACCAGCTGTTAGGTTTTCTGGGAGTTGGAGGCCAAAACATCTGGGGACCGATAGGTTGAGAACCATTGGAATAATGAGAGCTGCTAGTTCCTATATTGAAGCTGTTTTCCATCTGTTTCCTTCCTTTTTAAATCTTTCATGTCCAGTAATGCTTGTCAGCAGTTGATGCTAAGTATATTGTTAAAAAACCAATTTGCAGTTGTAGTTGTTGTTTGCCTTCATGTCGTTTCTGCTCTAGGACAACGCTAAAACAAAACTACTTTGGGGTTTTTTTGCAAAATTTATCCAGAAGGGGTTTTCTTTTGCCTTCTTCTTAGGCTGGGGGAGCAACTTGCCCAAGGTCACCGAGTGGATTTACATAGCTGAACAGGGATTTGAACCCTATTCTCTAGAACTGTAGTGCTCAAGCCACTATAGTATTGGCTACTAAAATAGTGAGCAGCTATCAAAAGAGACATCATCTTGGGGGGAAAGGGAAAATAATTGACCAATTAAATAAGGATTTTATTTGGATAGGACCACAGGGAAACTTTGAGCATAATAACAATAATATTAATAATATTCTTATATCCTGCCTCTGTCTCCCTGAGGAGACTCGGGGCAGCTTACGTGGGGACCAAGTCCAATATAAACAAAGGACACCTAGTAACACAATTAAAACATATAATAACCAACTATATTAAAAAGAGCATAACCAATAAAATATAAATCATCATAAACATGAACCACACAACAACCAATAGCTGAAAAGTGGGCTTGTGCAGATTTGAGACTAGTTGGGCAGGACAAGGACTAATGCAAACACAAAACTGTAGGGCCAGGCTGGGAATAAAGTGCTGGAGATCCAAACAAAAGATTAGGGCTAGCGGACTTGATCAGTAGCTAACTATTATTCAAAGGCACGTTGGAACATCCAAGTCTTCAAGCCTTTCTGGAAGCTGAACAGGGTGGGGGCTAATCTAATCTCCCTATGGAGAGAGTTCCAGATCTAAGGCCACCACCGAGAAGGCCCTCTCTCTCATCCCCCACCAACCGTGCTTGTGACAGAGGTGGGAGTGTGAGAAGGGCCTCCCTGGCATATCTTAGGACTCGCGCCGGTTCATAAAGGAAGATACGGTCTCGAAAATAAGTAGGACCCGAACATGAAAGGATGTTGAAAAAGGTGCTCCTATAATCTCAGAGTCCTGTCCCCACCAATGAGAACTTAGTTGAGAACACAAGAGATCTTATATTTATGTTCAATTACAATGTGAACCTGGCTGACAAAGCCAGCGAAAAGCAGTTTAGTTCAAAGCAAGATATCTCTCCTTTACAATCGAGCCCGGCCAGTAAACACACGTATATATGTAACATGGCTAATAATAAATTTTTCCTTCTCTCCTTTCTCCATATCCTATTGCTTTTAAAGTCTCCCTTCACTTTTTTTGTCTAATACAGATCTCCTCTTGAAAATGCAGACCCACGTATACGTACACAAGGCATCCAAATTCTCTCTGAAGTCCTCATGCAGTGTTACTCCCTACTCCGAGAGCAGGAAGGTAGGATGTTTATTATCTGTCTACTGGGCTGGATTCTCATTTGTTCTACAGAACTGGCCTCGATATTCAAAGGATTATGTTTAACTGTGATTAGTAGAGAGGAATGAGGGAAGGAAGATGAGCATGGTTCTACGACTCTGTAGTCTGTGGCATGCAGTAGGCAATCTTGTGGAGTAACTGGAATGTAATCTGGTTAATTGAAAGTCTGGATTTGCCCTTGGGGCAGGCATCTAGTGCCCTCATGTAGTTTTGGATTATGGGTCCCATTCTCCCTCACCATTGACATGCGGGCTGGATTTTATGACACTTGGAGTCCAAAATATCTGAAGGTTGCCTTTCCTTATCCTAAAAAGTGATTCAACTGATGAATTTAACAGAGGCCTTTCTTGATGTTCTAGCAATTTTGATCTTCCTGAACCCAAGTAAACAAAATGAGCTACTCTTAGTTGAGTCATGCTTGACAAATAGTAATTTTCTTCATTTGGAAGCCAGCAAAGGAATATCACCAAGATAATGGTACAAGAAAAAAAATCCTTATAATTTCTTACCTAAGATAAAAGCTAAGGAGAAAAATGATGGATGAGATGCTGTTTGACTTGAAAGGACAATAGGTTTTAGTGAAACAAAAAAAGTGATGGTTGAACAGTAGACAGTTGAACATTATGTCTGCCATAGATTGCAGACTTCTGTTTAAGTTTTCCACAAATATGCATAAGCTGCTTCAACTCTAGGTTCTTACATCTATGCTGTTCCTGAAAATGATGATTACTGAGTTCTCCGCTAGAGCAGTGTTTCTCAACTTTCCTAATGCTGCAACTCCTTAACACAGTTCCTCATGTTGTGGTGACCCCCAACCATAACATTATTTTCATTGCTACTTCATAACTGTAAGTTTGCTACGAATAATAATGTAAATATCTGATATGCAGGATGTATTTTCATTCACTGGACCAAATTTGGCACAATTACCCGATACGCTCAAATTTGAATACTGGTGGGATGGGGGGGATTGATTTTGTCATTTGGGAATTGTAGTTGCTGGGATTTATAGGTAACCTAATATCAAAGATCATTCTGAACTCCACCAATGATGGAATTGAATCAAATTTGGCACACAGAACTCCCATGACCAACAGAAAATACTGAAAGGGTGTGGTGGGCATTGCCCTTGAGTTGTCAAGTTGTAGCTCATCTACATCCAGAGAGCACTGTGGACTCAAACACTGATGGATCTGGTCTAAATTTGGCACAAATACTCCAAATGCCCAAATGTGAACACTGGTAGGGTTTGGTGAGAATAAACCTTGACATTTGGGAGTTGCAGTTGCTGGGATTTATAGTACTTCTACAATCAAAGAACTCCTTGAACTGATAATAAAGCTAGCAAGTGCTTATGATGATGCTTTCAGAGATATTTATTTGCGGTAGAAATGCTCATTTAACTACTGGAGCCTGATGATACTTGTCTATTCCAGTAACCCACCTTGTCTTGTTTTACGAGAACCGGCTGAAAGATCATCACCTCGTCATACCATCTGTACTGCAGGGACTCAAAGCTCTGGTGAGCATTCCTTCTGAATAAATCATAAATAATAAACTTTTTAAATGTCCTGCCCCATCTCCCTGAGGGGACTCAGGGCGGCTTACAGAAAGCAACAGTGCAAACAAACACATAAGGTATACCACATGAATGCCACTGTTGGTACAGGTTGAGCATCCCTTTTCCAGAATGCCAAAATTTGAAATACTCCAAAATTCAAAATTGCCAACCTTTGCATTTGGTGGACACAAACTTTGTTTCAGGGTCAAATGTATTAAAATTATGGTATAACATTATCTTCAGGCTAGGTGTATAAGATGTATGTGAAACATATATGAATGTTGTATTTAGACTTGGACCGCATCTCCAAGATATCTCATTATGGACATATATGTAAATACAGGTATTACAAAATCTGGGACAAAAATCCCAAGCACCTCTTGTTCCAGGCATTTTGGATAAGGGGTACTCAACCTGTAATAAGTAATCCATTTATAACACTATTAACAATTCCAGTATTTTTTTACTTAATAGTAGGGATGTATAGTGTTACTAGAACAGAAGGGTAGCACCTATGACTCATTTAACTGAGATCAGTAAAAGAAACTGTTTAAAATAATGCATACTGGAGAAAATGAAATATTTTCTGAGTCTTCTCAGGAATGTATACCTATCCAATTAATTGTACACCTTTGTTGCTTTGTTTTCTTAAGACTGACTCACTGTCACACTGCTATATTAAACTGCTCATTGGTGTTGGGTGGGGAGTTCAGACCTAATGGTTTACAAAATTGTGTTTTCTGAAAAATTGTTACTCTTTCATTTTGCGTACAGTATGCCCTGTGTCCCATAACCTTATTGTTGCAGACTGTCATTGCTTAATGAAAGTAGCGAGCAGTAGTCACTATAATTTGCTTTGTCTCCAGAGTATGTGTGAGGCATTGGCTCCGGGCCTGGCAGTGTCTGTTCTCAAAGCCATCTTCCAGGAGGTGCATGTCCAGGTGAGCAGGGGAAGCAGCCCATAGCTTCTCATGTAGATTTATGTAAGGCTTCTTTCAGCCTTTCTATTAACATCATTAGTAGCATGCTGGTTAATCTGGTCTCATGTGCCTACTTTGGTCTGCAACAGGCATGGGCAAACTTCGGCCCTCCAGGTGTTTTGGACTTTAAGTCCCACAATTCCTAACAGCCGGCAGTAATTTACTTAGTTTGCCCTTTCTTGTCAGAGTCTTTTGATTTCAAGAGAATCAGAGTGTAGAATTAAAAACTGGTCCTTTAAATGTTCCAAATGTGATCACCTAGCCTTTGGGACTTAACTTTTAGGAATCTGTCAGCTATTAAAACAAAAGATGAAGGTTTCCCCTGACATTAAGTCTAGTCGTGTCCAATTCTGGGAGGTGGTGTTCATCTCCCTTTCTAAATCGAAGAGCCGGCGTTGTCCGCAGACACCTCCAAGGTCATGTGACCAGCATGACTGTAGCACCGTTGCCTTCCCATAGAAGCAGTACCTATTGATCTACTCGCACTTGCATGTTTTTGAACTGCTAGGTTGGCAGAGGCTGGGGCTAAAAGCAGGAGCTCACCCCGCTCCCCGGATTTGAACCACCAGCTTTTAGTCAGCAAGTTCAGCAGCTCAGCAGTTTATCCCGTTGCACCACTGGGGGCTTCCTTATTTACAGATCTAACTCCTTGCAAGCTACACTTTTATTTTCCTCTCTTAAAATATTTTGTAGAGAACTTTATTCTTGCATGATCAGTTCACTAACTCTGATGTTAGTAATGCAACATGGTCTGATATATCATGCTTCATAACTGGTTATACTGGATGCTTCTTGAACTGATTCAAATCTGTCTGCACCATACCCTTTGGCAAGCCATTGCCTTAACTTTCAACAAGAATAATGACCCTACGTGACAGAGCAGAGGCCTTGGATTAAATCTCAAATTATTAGGGCTATAAAACATACCTCCTGTGCATTCCATGATGTCTACAGGTTCTGGTGTATACAGTTATATCATGCCAAGAGGCATCTTATATTTCACATGGGACAAAAATGATTTATAGCTTCTCTCAATTGAAAGATAAAAGGGGAAGTGTTATGGATTGTTGACTATTCTGGCCTTCTGCCGAGTGTATGAGTTTAGTTTATTGTTTATTGCCTTGCGTTTAGTTTATTGTGGTTGCCTTTCTGTCAAATGGGGTGCCTGGCAGATGAATACAAAATTATGATAGAAAAAAGTCACACAAAACAAATTGAGATGGATATGAATATCTAAAACAGTGGTTCTCAGCCTGTGGGTCCCCAGGTTTTTTGGCCTACAACTCCCAGAAATCCCAGTCAGTTTACCAGCTGTTAGGATTTCTGGGAGTTGAAGACCAAAACATCTGGGGACCCTCAGGTTGAGAACCACTGCCCTAAAGAATAAATGATATTTGCAAAATTAATGTATTTCTCTCTTTATTTCCTTTGTCTTCTAGTCTTTGCTACAACTGGATCGCCATACAGTCTACAGTATCATCATGAACTTCATGAGCAGTCGAGAGGCAGGTAAGAAGGAGAAAGGGTGTCAGACATCCTATTTGGAAGCTCTGGAAAGTTGTTTTATCGATTGCTTTCTCCCACAGAACTGAAAAGCTTGGGTGCTGATTTCACCTTTGGCTTCATCCAGGTAATGGATGGAGAGAAAGACCCACGCAACCTTTTAATAGCCTTCCAGATTGTTCGAGATATAATTGTAAAAGGCTATGCACTAGGTAAGTCAGAGTTCTTACCATCCAGATCATAAAATGGGAGAGCTTAGGGTGGTGGGTTAGTAGGCCGCCTTACAATACCTGTTGTATCAGAGAGTGCCAGCTGGTGGGACAGACACTGAGTATTGGAAGACAGTTGAGGCAAGCTTAAATTAGGAAATATAAAACCAGAACTGAAAGGTGTCTGCTATCAACTCTTAGAATTAATGTTCCTTTTGCTTTGTGGCCTCTTGGATTGGTTGTGTTCATCAGGCTACAAATGGTTCAGAGTGTTGTCGAAGGCTTCCATGGGCAGAATCACTGGGTTGCTGTGAGTTTTCTGGGCTGTATGGCCATGTTCCAGAAGCATTCTCTCCTGATGTTTCACCCACATCTATGGCAGGCATCCTCAGAGGTTATTAGGTCTTTTGGAAACTAGGCAAGTGGGGTTTATATCTGTGGAATGTCCAAGGTGGGAGAAAGAACTCCTGAGGCAAGTGTGAATGTCGCAAATAGCCACCTTGATTAGCATTGAATGGCCTTGCAGCTTCAAGGCTTAGCTGCTTGCTGCCTTGGGGAATCCTTAGTTGAGAGGTGTTAACTGGGCCTGATTTATTCTTGTCTGGAATTCCCCTGTTTTTGAGTGTTGCTCTTTATTTACTGTCCTGATTTTAGAGTTCTTTTTTAATACTGCTAGCCAGATTTTGTTCATTTTCCCCCTTTCTGTTGAAATTGTCCACATGCTTGTGGAACTCAGTGGTTTCTCTGTGTAGTCTGACATGGTGGTTGTTAGAGTGGTCCAGCATTTCTGTGTTCTCAAATAATATGATGTGTTCAGGTTGGTTCATCAAGTACTCTGCTAAGGCTGACTTCTCTGGTTGAAGTAGTCTGCTGTGCTTTTCATATTCCTTGTTTTGTGTTTGGGCGCTGCATTTAGTGGTCCCTTTGTAGACTTGTCCACCTGTCTACAGCTACATGGTATACAGTAGACTCCTGCAGAGGTGAGAGGATCCTTCTTGTCCTTTGCTGCATGTAGGATTTGTTGGATTTTCTTATTGGGTTTGTAGATAGTTTGTAGGTTGTGTTTTTTCATCAGCTTCCCCATGCAGTCAGTGGTTTCCTTGATGTATGAACACTTTTCCTCTGGGGGGATCTTTGTCATTACTCTCGTGGCTTGTTCTTGGTCTTGCAGCTCTTCTGGTTCAGTCAGAGCTTCTGAGCCTCTGCCCTCTTGTTTTGAATTAGCCTACACTTGTTTCTGGCAGGGTTGGTCACCCAAAGACACAAAGTTACTACAAACAGTAGTACACCAATCACAATAATAATAGTTTTTTACAACCTATATGCTACAATAATGGACATATATACAAATAACATAAAGCTGTTGTAAACACAGAGTCTTGTCACAGTGATTCCCTTCTGGAGAGCAGTGTAAAGATCATTCAAAAAAAGTCAAAAGTGTATAACTATAAACACTTTAGAGAAGACTTCTCCTTGAGGGCATGGATTTCTTATTATATTGTAAGTAGAAGTTTATAAATCCAAAAATCTATGAAAAAGATAATTCTCTAATGAAACTGCTATATGGAGCTTCTGCTTCCATGTAGAGGATTTCCAAATTCCAGACCGGTTTTGACTATATTAAGTCTTCTTCAGGTGGAAAAATATGAAAATCACAGAACGCAATGGGCGTCAAGTTCTCCAAAATTAAATATTCCTCAGGTGAAAAAGTATGAAATTACAACGCTGAAGTGGACCTACAGGGAATATACACAGGTGGATAGAAAAAATGCCAAAAGATAAATACTTCCATGTATAATGAACATAAGAGGCATAAGATGTAAAAAAATGTAATGTTTTAAATTGGGTTTTACGGTTTTAATTGACATTTTAGTGTATATGTTGATAGCATCATTGATGCTTATGTGAGGCCACCCTGAGTCCCCTTTGTGGGGAGAAGGGCGGGGTAGAAATAAATAAATAACATAAATACTCACATCAAGTTCTCCTTAAAAGGTGCTCTGCATTTGTTTGATTCCCCAACAAGCACATGGTTAGCAGGTAGAAGCTATTATATAAAGTAGAGCATTTAAAGGTGCCAGATGAAGATGTAGCTCTACAAGAGCTGCCTGAAGCAGGTATATCAGGTGAGGCTTACAAGGTATATCAGCAGGACTTACAAGGTCTCTCAACAGACGTATAATGCTGTTTTCAATTTTCTAGGGCCCTTTGCAGAAGAACTGTTTGAAGTGACTTCCTGCTACTTCCCCATCGACTTCAATCCTGTGAGTGAGCTAATTCTTTTTTTCTTCTAATCAGTTTCCCTGCGCAAAATATGTTTGCAGGGCATGATGGTTCATCTGATGTGTGAAATCAAGGGTTTTATATGGCCAGCTTTACTGACAGAGGCTTTTATGAGTATAGTTTTCCATTTCTGGTTCTCTTGCAGCCCCCCAATGACCCTCATGGAATCCAGAGAGGAGATCTGATTGTCAGCCTGCGGGCAGTGCTGACCGCCACTCCCGTTTTTGCAGAGGTAGGGCAACTAGGATTTCGGATTCAAGCAGGACCTATGTCTCTGTGGACTTTCTCTTCTTGACTTGAAAATACTGAGCTGATCAATCTGACTGGAGGGACAAACAACTGTTGAATAGTTAGTGTAGATTTGCAGATATTGTGGCTGAAAAATGTATTTAATCCATGTGTTGTAGAAGTGGTTATTGCTAATTTTAAGACTAGGCCCTGTTGGTGGTGTCAGGTTTGCTATTTGAGCAGGCACGGGGGAACAGGCTTTCTTCACTTATCTCATTTCTGGTCCTTCTAAATTTCCTCCAGACTGGTCTTTCAGACTTCTATTTTCAGACAATGGATTCAAGTGTTGCCTTGGTGATTACATTTTGCTTCCAGTGCTGATCTCGCACTGGGAGAAAGGCAAGATTGAAAAGTAATTAATCAATTTAAATTCTTGAATTAGAGAACAAAGTCAGAAAGTTGTAGAGCTGTGCAGTTCTATAGGCTTTATATCATTTATAGAACATGGTTTGGTCTTCAGTCACAAGCAGATATTCAGTTCCCAGAGTATGCTGAGGCTTTTACTACCCTTTTCCTTCCCATAGTTCTTGCTGCCTTTGCTCATTGAGAAAATGGACTCCGATGTACAAAGTGCCAAATTGGACTCCCTACAAACCTTGGTAAGAGTTGTGAACAAAGATGAACAAGTGGGTTGAGACTGTCATACAGTCCTCTGTGTGCTTATAGCTTACCCCAATGCAAGCATCAGGCTTTGTCCTCCATTCCTCCACTGAGGTTTGTTTATCGTTCATGTTTCCTCAAGGGAAGGAAGGTGGTAGTTATTTTTGCCAGATGCTGCACCTTTTTTACTGGCACTAATGCCATTCTGTGGGGCTGCGGTGGGATAGAAGGTTAAATCGCTAAGCTGTTGAACTTACTGACCAGAATGTCAGCAGTTCGAATCCACGGATGGGGTGAGCTCCTGTTATTAGCCCTAGCTTCTTCCAACCTAGGAAGTTGAAAACATGCAAATGTGAGTAGATCAATAGGTACTGCTCCATTGGGAAGGTAACGGCGCTCCATGCAGTCATGCTGGCCACATGACCTTGGAGGTGTCTACGGACAATGCCGGCTCTTCAGCTTAGAAATGGAGATGAGCACCACCCCACAGAGTCTGATTTGACTACATTTAATGTCAAGGGGAAACTTTTACCTTTTTAATTCCATTCCCCTGATAACATATGTGTTGTTGTTTTTAACAGAGCGCTGCCTGTACAATCTATGGACAGAAAGAGTTGAAAGAATTCCTACCCAGTCTCTGGTCATCTTTGCGAAGGGAGGTGAGATTAAATGTTTCAGAAGAAGAATTATCTGGGTTTCTTAGGAAAGTGCACCCAGACCTTGTTCCTATACTGTCATTTACTGGCATGTGTTTGTTGTTCTACAAACCACCTCAACTATTACATAGTTCCTGCAATGAAGTGACGAAGTGGCTTAATGTTTGATGACACACTTAAGAGAAAAATAGAAAATTGGTTTATGGCATATGGACTTTTTTAAAACACTGAGTTCTGGAATGGTACTGTTTGATGAAACCAAGTTTCTGTTGATTTCCTCTTTCCTTCTGCAGGTCTTCCAAACAGCAAGTGAGAAAATTGAAGTAGAAGGTCTGTCTGCATTGCGTGCTCTGACCGCTTGTCTGTCTCGCTTGGTGCTCAGTCCTGATGACGAGGATCTTCTTGAATCCTTTCTTAAAAGCGTTCTGCAAGGTAACTCCTGGAGTGGCCTACTTTGCAAGTCACTTTCCAGTCCAGTAGAAAGCATTCCATTCCTTCTTCATAACATGCTATTTGCAGGAAGTAAACCACCTCCCAGAGGAAAGATCCTGTTGTGTTGTTGCAGCCATAGGTTGACTTACAGCCCTGGAGAAAGAGATGGAAGTTGCTTAAAGCAGATGTGAGGAAGAACACGGTCTCCACTAGATTCTGATAATCTGTTGGAATTGGTTGGAATAAAGTCCTGATGTTTCTTGGTAGAATATTAGCAGAACCCTGCTGTTTCTTCCAAGTAGTTTTGTTTATTTCAGATTGCAGACACCATCTGTGTGAGCCTGACATGAAACTGGTGTGGCCAAGTGCCAAGCTTTTGCAGGCAGCTGCAGGGGGCTCTTTGCGGGCTTATTACCAGATTACAAGTAGCGTACTTCCTTTGCTGGTGGAAGAGTACACCAAACACGAGCAGGTGAGGACGAATGGGAATAGAACCCATATGCATTGAAGAGTAGCAACAATAGTGGTGGGCAGTCCCAGTTTTGTATTAGAAGAAATTCAGTGGGCAATTTTTCTACCACTACTCCAGATACATGATTAGTCTAGAACATCATATATGGCAATAGCCTGCAGATTGAGTTTCTTCCTCTGTGTTTTTGAAGCATGCTCTTCATCCCTTGAGCCCATCCTGTCTCCTCTTGATCTCTTGTAGAGTAGCCAGCACAGGACAATCTTGGAGGTGCTACTTGGTTTTTTGGAGCTGCGGCAAACATGGGGCCCTGAGGAGGAAGGTGAGATGATCCCTTATTATTTATTACGACAGGAGGAGCTTCTAGATATCTTATAAGCAAGATTACTTCTCAGTAGGTTCTTGTGGCTACAGTAGTCTTACCTTGTCCAGAGTTGTGCGCCTGTGGTAAACAGCCATCTTTATCCATTTAATCTGCATAGTGGCATGTCTTGGGGGAAAGTAGGCATGAGTAGAGGTTGGAGGTTGGGACCTTGGAAGGTGGTATATCTCTGCTTTGTGCCCCCCAAATGTTTTTCCATTTTGCATTTTGGCCCTCTCATGACCCCTAGTGGACTTGCCACATATTTACATTTCCTGCCATAAAATTTTAGTTCAGGAAAGGTCTTTTTTAATACAAAAGTGAACTTCTGGTTGATTTGAATGGACCTAAAATGATTTGATTGGAGCCCCCAGTAGGGCAGCAGGTGGTGCAGTTAAACCACTGAGCTGCTGAACTTGCTGACCGAAAGGTCAGCGGGTTGAATCCAGAGAGAAGGGTGACCTCCCGCTGTTAGCCCCAGCTTCTGCCAGCCTAGCAGTTCAAAAAACATGCAAATGTGAGTAGATCAGGCAGGAAGGTAATGGTGCTCCATGCAGTCATGCTAGCCACATGGCCTTGGAGGTGTCTACGGATAATGGCAGCTCTTCGGCTTAGAAATGGAGATGAGCACCAACCCCCAGAGTCGGACACGACTGGACTTAATGTCAGGGAAAACCTTTAACTTTACTTTAAAATTGTGTGAGAGACAAAATTAGTGAAAATACTTTTTTTGCAAAAATTATTTTATTTTTTTATGTTGAAAGAGACATTATGTGCAAGAGAGTTGAATGTTGACAATTTAGCGTTTGGGCCACATGCAGCCATGAGCAGTGTTTTCTCACCTCTGAGTGAGGGTTGGGGCCAATCAATATGTATTTAAACCGAAGTGAGATAAAATGAAAAGAAAAATACTTTTGACAGGACCCCTTTTTTAGAGACATTTCTGGCCCCAGCAGTTTCTGAAACAGTTCTTAGAAAGTGTCCAAAAGTTCAGAAACCAGATGAACAAGTAGAACAGAGTGAGGAACCTTTTTCATCCATCCTTCATAAAGAACATCTCAAAGGCAGAAGTGGCCTCCCCTCTATGCAAGCATATATTCTTTATTCACATGTATCTATTTAAAGCAATGCTTCCCAATCTGTGGTCAGTGGACCACCAATGATCCACAAAAGCAAAAATATGGTCTGAGACCTCAGCATTAGTACACTATTGCCTCGAAACCACGCATCAACGAGAGTGACTGGTCTCTTGGCCTTTGGTTCTGACAATTATGGCTGTTTCTTTTTAGCTTTTTAAAAAACATTACTATAGTTTTAAAATGATTTTTGGGAGGAGTTTTAATTCATGCATGTAATGTTTTCACCCACTATGCATTTTGGGGCCCTGGCATGTCCAGAGACTATAAACAAATACCATGAATAACATGACAGTTCCCATTGACCTTTAGAAAGGAGTAGACACTCACTGTTATTTGAGCATTGCTACAGGTGCCTTGTGATCACTGGCCTTAATGTTTGGACTGCTTACAATGCGCATGTACTTCTTCTTTGCAGACAAGAGTCCGCAGCTTTTCCCTAAAGCATCTCTATGTTCCATGGTGTTCTCTGCAGTTTCTGAGCCCAATGTTCAACTTCAGTTGGTTGGGATTCAAGCTCTTACCTTTTTGGGGTCACTGCAAGGTATGTGGCACTCTATGGCACCCCCAGTAAGCCCAAGGAAGGTCAGATATTTGTCAGAATCTTTTTCCTAGCAGGGCTGGAGATGGATTTCTGGGGTATTTCTGTGTGCATCTACTTCTGGGTGTCAAACTGACATGTTATTGCCTGTATAGCTCACACTATGGGCTTTATATATTCTCAAGAAAGTGGAATACAGTATGGAAAAGGTATCTTTAAGTTCTGCTGCGTGAGAAAAAGAATTTTGTGGCTCAGTCAGTCCTTTCTGTTTCAGGGCTTCTGGCACCACCAGATGTGGAAATGCTTGTGGACCACCTTGTAAAATTCATCCTGTATGAGGAAGACCCCCAAACCAGGTGGGCTATGAGGCCTTCTGGCAGGACAGGGGAAGTAGCAGGCACTTGAACTGCCCAAAATGTATTGTGGTTTGATCCTTATAATCAAATCTGAGGAAACTGTGGCTAGTGGCAATGATGTGGTCTGTCGGAGGACCCATTTGGCTCGTGGCATCTTTGATCCTTATCTATACACTAGCCATTTCCCTTACATCCTCCCATCCAGCAGTGACACTTTACAAAAACGTCCTTGTAAGGATCACCGTATCAGCCTGGGGTTGGCTGCCTTGATTCTCTGCCATAAAGAAGGAAGGTGGGGGGGAGGAAGGCTCAGTACAGTTGGGGAAGGTAGTGTACCTAAGACATTTATTTTGTGAGGGAAATTGAAACTGCAGTTAACAGACAGTAGACACCATGTTTGGCCACTAGGGGGCAAATGGGAGTTGGGGCTGAGATATACAGGAAGTTTGAACAGAAAAACTTTAGAACTGTCTTTTTAGGAATGTGGAAAGCGGGAATAAACCACTTGTCACCAGCGTTTTATTGTTGTGAGCTTGATTTTAACTCCAGGATCTTTCAGAGCTTGACACTCTTTGTGTAAACATAAGTCCAGAGGAAAAGTGTGTAGGTAGAACATAACTAGGAAAGGTAGAGTTAGCCATCCTTTATTTGACCCAGTGGCATCTTCCCAGTACCCCCTGCACAATAGAAAGCTTGTAAAAAATCTTAATTCATTTTAATGGAAACATTTTTTTAAAAATAGCTTAATTGCAAAGAAGGGTTACTGTGTGGGCACACATGAGTATAAATAATATCTTTTGGGTAGGGTCTGGGCAGTCATATGAGCTGTGGGATGGTCTCTGCTTCCTGCTTATATGTGAATCTTGATTTGCTTTTCTAATAACAAGTTAGACTTTTGGTCAAAATAATCCCTACTGCATTTTATAGATGGCAAACAAAGAGAATTATATTATTGTTGTTGAACAGAAGAGAGCCATTTTGGTACAAAATTTGTGATCAACTTGTCATTTACAACTTCAGTTTTTGCACCCTTACAAAAACATGCTTTGGTTTAGCCTTCTTGGTTCTAACTTACGTGTTGAGCTCATTATGTCCTTTTATTTTAGCAGATACACATTTAAGTCACCTGCCAATAGCATAGATAAACATTTGGCTGTAAAAGCATCAGCTCTGTGCAGGAATCCTTTAAAGTTTAATTTTATACTTTAGATATTTGTTTTGCTGGGGGTGACGGGGAACGACCATACAATTTGTTAATTCTCATTGATTTTGTTCAGTGTTCAGTTCTCATCCTGTCCAACACTCCCCATTCAGCATGCTTTGAATTCAGACCTGTGTCCTAGGATGGCTCCCATTAAGACTCTTATTATACCTCTGCAGAATTGTAAACAACTCCATCATTTTCTAACAGTTGTCAGGCAAATCCAGTAGGAATGAGTTAACAAAAGCCTGCATCATTGCATGTCTTACACCTTTATCCAAGAGAATAAGTGGAATACATTTTACACTTTTGTAAAGTCAAAAATATACACAACACAGTATTTAAAAAATCAGATCACAGTTTGAAAGAACTGTGTGTTCAGAGTATGGCAGTAAACGACTGGCAAGTTCATTTTGGTCCTTTCCTTTACTCCTATAGTTTGGCAGCTATGGAGGCTGCTGGTACGTTGGCTCCTACCTACCCAGAAGTCTTCAGCCAGTGTTTGGTTCAGTTGCTTTCAGAAAAACTTCAGACAGGTACAGCATGTAGGCGGGATGGGTTGTGTGAGGGTAGACTTCTTCTTTCAGTGTGATGTTTCTATATTTATATAGAAGAGTATTTCCATGGGTTAGTGCTGCTAATATCTGCAACCAAGTTGTTACAAGTGCAGTCGTTCTTCCACTTTTGCAGGGAGTTTGGGGCAGCATCGGTTCTGCGAAAGTGAAAATTATGCAGATATTTGATGCTTGGAGGGAATGATCTGCTGCTGGGTGGGGTGGGGGGAGCTCACTGGTGTGATCCCAGGGAGAAGAGGAGAAGCTGTCCCTGTGTGTCATTTCATTTACCCTCTGGATCCTAATTCCTCCTCTTCCTACATATCATGAATGTCACCACGGGAAGGGAAGGGAGATACTAGTCAGTGGTGCTCAACCTGTGGGTTCCCAGATGTTTTGGCCTTCAACTCCCAGAAATCCTAACAGTTGGTAAACTGGGTTGTAAGTTTTTCAGCGTGTATGGCCATGTTCCAGAAGCACAACCTCTGAGGATGCCTGCCATAGATGCAGGCGAAACATCAGGAGAGAATACTTCTGGAACATGGTCATACAGCCCAAAAACCTTACAGCAACCTAGTGATTCCGGCCATGAAAGCCTTTGACAACACAGCTGGTAAATTGGCTAGGATTTCTGGGAGTTGAAGGTCAAAACACCTGGGAACCCACAGGTTGAGAACCACTGTACTAGGTGGAAGAAAACACACAACATGTCTGCTCCTGAACAGTCCCCTCACTCATTTTCTGGGAACATAGCTGTAGTGTGAATGTTCACATGGCTGCTCCAACATCACAAGGCAGGATTGACCTTTCAGACTTACGAATAATCAAATATATGTGAAATCTGCAAAACTGAGGGGATGTCTGTAGCTTTAATCTGCCTCTGTGCCAACTCCAGCTGCAATTCCAAGAGGAATGTTAATTTCAAAATGTGTTTAATTTTTAGGGCTAACTTTTCTTACCTTAATGACCTATTGCTTTAGTCAATCTCCCCATTTAATCCCTGTGCGCTCGGTTTCAGAAGTGCTGGAGGATAGCAATCCGTCCCACCAGGAGCGGTACTTGAAAGCCCTGGCAGCAGTGTCCACCCATCCAAGTATAGTGAGAGAAACCGTTCCAGTTCTCCTGGAGCAACTCCAGCAGGTTCAGAAAGGTAAGTATGTGATTAAAATTTGGAATTTTTGTGTGCAGTGGAGAAGGAAGCTGGTTGTCTAATGTTTGCAATTGTTCTGTATTTGTCTTAGAGCAAATGTGGGCAATTGTGGAAGGCTAGAGAGCTATGTTGACACTCTCAAAAGATCTTGAAGGATCATAGCCCCACACTGTACCTCCTGAAACAAATGATAATTACTCCCAAATGCCCTTAAAAGCATGCTATTTTATTCCATCCGTTTAGACATTCTTGATCCATTTCAGGTTCAGAAAACGCCTTTTTTAACAGTAAGGAGTGAATGGATGTCCTGTTTTTAAAAGGTTATCTTCTGAACCAAATTTTACTTGCGCCCTTCATTATATGGCAGAAATGTTCTCTGCATTCCTGGAGGCATTTGGATGCAAACCTCCACCATTTTTACCCCTGGATTGGTGGGACAAACATGGTAGAAATGCTCTGTATATGTTCCAAAGGTTGCTTTGTGATTTATTTATTTTTTATCTGAGGAGGGGTTTTCCCCAGTGCCTTTTAAAAGAAATCTCTGTGTTGCATCCAGCCAGCAGGCCATGCTTTGCCCACCACCCTTTTAATGGCAGTGTGCGGACTCTTTCTTAGGGCAGTAATTTGGACTGGATTATCTTTCAGTCTCTTTTAGTCCCGTAATGCTTTATATATATTAAAAACAGGAAAAGTATAATTTGTCATTAAAAATTAAGGGTTAGTACAAGATTTAGATAATTCATTCTACTGCAGCCACGGTGTAAGTGGCCTTTGAGATTACAGCTGCAATCTACAGTTTAATAGCCTTACTTGTTTCTTGGAAAGTAGTTATAGCTTCCCAGAAACACTAAACAGTGGTTAATTAAAGCCTTTTTGGTCTGATGTGTTTTTTACTTGGGTAGAGGAGGAATTTGGAGCCCCCAGTGGTGCTGTACTTGCTGACCGAAAGGTCGGCGGTTTGAATTTAGGAGAGCGGGGTGAGTTCTTGCTGTTAGCCCCAGCTTCTGTCAACCAAGCTTCTGTCCCAGCTTCTGTCAACCAAGCAGTTCAAAAACATGCAAATGTGAGTAGATCAATAGGTACTGCTCCAGTGGAAAGGTCATGCTGGCCACATGACCTAGGAGGTGTCTGTGGACAATGCCAGCTCTTTGGCTTAGAAATGGAGAGAAGTACCACCCCCCAGAGTTGGACACAACTAGACTTATAGCCAAGGGGAAACCTTTACTTTTTAGAGGAGGAACAAAGTGGGCATTTTTAGACAAAAAGGCTCATTAGTCCCGTAGCTTATTAAGCAGAGTTTAATATAAACAACCAAATGCAAAAAATGTGTTAATTATTTTTCTAGTATTTGGGAACTATAAATCTATCAAAAGGCTTTTTAACACTGCATGTTACTATTTTTTTAAAATGTTTTGATAGGGAAGACGCCGTCAGGTACGCAGTTTGTGGTGTCTATATGCCAGAGCCTGCAACAAGTGGCATTGAAATGTCAGCAAGATCCTCAGAGTTACTGGTTCTTTCACCAGGCTGTGGTGCCCTGCCTCTTGGGCTTAGCCGTGCAGGCTGCCATGCAAGGTAAGACATGGAGATCGGCACAGAATTCATCCTCTCTGCATTCTGCCAGTGCCTGCAGCTAAAGCAGAACTGTCCTTACTGCATATGTTAACGGGTATAGCTTTTGGTTTTGTACTTTACGTCCCTGAATCTCAAGGGGAATGTGGCCTTCCTTTGGAGATGCCTGTATATGTTCCAGATCCATTATTTTCAATCATCTTATCTCAGTTTGCACCAACTTCAATTACATGGGCCAGGTAGTACCAGCTCCCCTTTATCAGACATCTATTCTGCAAGTGATAAATCAAAAAGCGTTATGCTTTATGTGTGCAGCTGTGGCCATCTAGATGCTTCTGGACTGCAGGCTTCATTCAACATTGACTGTGCTAGCACTAGCTAGGGAGTTGTTAGCCCAAAACATCTGGAAGGCAATATCTGCTTTGGAAGAAAATGTAAGAGTAAAGGGAAATTTCCATTCTCTCTCATTCTTGTTTTTGCTTTGCTCTGTTATTTTTGCTTTCAGAAAATTCCCACACAATTCTAAGCAAGGTGCTGCTGACGGAGGAAGCTTTATCAGCTATGGTACCAGTTATTAGTGCTGCCTGCATACACTTAAGCCCAGAGTGAGTAACTTCCGGACTTTCCTGGTCCTTGTCCCTACAGTGTATTTTACTTCTTAAGTCCCAGCCTAACTTTTTATCTCTTTGATGGGAAAGTGGTCTAGTAGTAACCCTTCTCACCCATTTCGTGATGTTTCATATTGTACAATAAGACAACGTTCCTTCCGCTACTTGTGTCTTTATGGCAGGTTGGCTTCACAGAGTGTTTCCAAAGTGGTGCCCCTCTTCCTAGACGGAGAGCTGTCCTTTCTGCCCGGAAACAGCTTTCCAAGCACTTTCCAGCCTTTCCAGGTCTGTTGGGTGAATGGGATGCTGCTTTTGCTATGTTTGGGGAGGTTTTGGTAAGAAGCTTCAAAATGGCCTCTACTGAAAGTGATCGTGTTTCCTCTACAGGATGGGCAGTCTGCAATGGCAGCCCAGAGAAGGCTTGTTGCTCTCCTCATGGCCTTTGTCTGTTCATTGCCAAGGAATGTGAGTTATGGGAGAGATTGTGGGGGAACATGGTTGAAATAACGGATCTGCTCTATGCAAGTAGTGCTGGTAATCAGAAGATAGTATGAAGATTTGCCTCCATAGCTTTCCTTTCTTCTCGTTTTTTGGCAGGTTCCAATTCCTCAGCAGGACCGGTTGTTACGTGAACTGCTAGCCCTGAGCTGCTCCTGCGATTGCCCATTTACTGCTACAGTTGCGGCCAAATGCTTTGCAGGTCTTGTTAACAAACACCCAGCAGGTAATAACTGGATTATATATAAATTTATTCACCAGAGAGCTCTGATACTTATGACACATTTAATGCTGGTTGGATGAAACCTTATTGATTGATACAAGGGGATTATTTATTATTTTCAAATAATTTTTATTTATTTTCTTGATTACATTATCTTAAAAGGAAAAAAGGAAAAAGATAGATAGAACTTAGGAATAGAATGGGAGTCTAACAAGGAAGGGTTAAAGAGAGAAGAATAATAATTTAAAAAAACCTAGGGATCTAGGGGAGGGATTTAGAAAATGACAAAAAGAATAAATAAAAAGTAGAAAAAATAGAAACCTTCAACTTCTCCACCGTGGTTTGTATTTTCTTTTCTGTTCTTAATTATTGCTGTCCCCTTTCTTTTCTTTTCTGGGGACAAATTCTCTTATTTTCTTCAATTTAATTCTATTATCAATTTTATCTTTTTTATCATATAGTCTTAATTTGTCCATAGACATTATATCAATTATTTTAGACATCCATTGTTATTTTGAAGGGATTTCTTTTATTCTCCAATAGAGGCATAGTTTATTTCTTATTTCTTATTTACTATATTATTTACTATATTTATATCTTGCCTTTCTCAACCCCGAAATGGACTCAAAGCAACTTACAGATGTGCAACAATTCAATGCCTTAGTAATGAAATACAATTAAAAGAAACATTTAAATTAAATTAAGATCAAAATTGAAATACATTAAAACATTTTTAAAACATTACAATCATTATAAAATCACGCTATCCACAATCATAATCCAGGTTATTCATATCCTGGTTTTTCTCTTTAAAAAAGAGACTCAAAGAAGTTCACAGTAAAACCAATATAATAAATTTAAAGCCTAAAAATATACAAACATAAAAATTGAATTAAATATTAACAGTATTATAAAGTAAACAGTTAAAATGGTTAAAATCTGGTTTAAAACATTCAAAACTAAAACCATAGCACCCTCTGACTTGATCTTAAAAATTTTCTTATTTAAAAGCCTGCCTGGATGAAAAGGTTTTAGCCTGCTGCTGGAAGGACAGCAGAGAGAGGGCCATTCTGGCTTCCCTGAGCAGGGAGTTCCAGAGGCTTTTTTAAACTTTAGTGTTTTTTTTTTTATTTTCAAAGTTACTGTGAATAGTGCTACGCAAAATTATACAAACATTCAAAACATTTTCCATTGGTAACATGTTCACATCATTTCCCTTCTTTCTTTCTCCCCTCCCTCTCCTCCTTGGAAACAGTTTACAAATTTTTTATGTACTTATTATGACTGTTCGATCATGAGGATAATCTTGTTTGATTCCTTATATTTATCTTTCCCCTTTATTCTATAAATTCAGCCTTTCCATTTTGCTTCCCATGACGTTCTGATTTGACCTATCCTGTAGTAATTTTTCCTTTCGCTAATGTAGTCTTGGAGGAGGTTGTCCACTAAATATTTATACCATGTTTGTGTGCCCCATTTCTTTTGGTTCTGAGTTCCAGAGTTGAGGGGCAGCCACCGACAAGGCCCGCTCTCTCATTCCCACCAACCGAGCTTGAGATGGAGGTGGGACCAAGAGATTAGCTGAATAGTCTGGACATGAGCTGTATAGGGTCATAACGAGCACTTTGAATTGTGCCAGAAACAAACTGGCAACCAGTGGTGTCTGTTCCCTGTAGCCAACCTCAGTGAGCAACCTGGCTGCAGCTTTTTGGACCAGCTGAGGTTTCCAAACACTCTTCAAAGGCAGTCCCACATAGAGCATATTCCTGTTATCCAGACAGGATTTAACTAAAGCATGTATCATCATGGCCAGATCTGACATCTCAAGGAATGGACACAGTTGGCCCACAAGTTTTAAATGTGCAAAGGCCCTCCTGGCCACCACAGATACCTGGGCCTCCAGGTTCAGTGCTGAATCCAGGAGGACCACCAAACTACGAACCTGTGTCACCCCATCCAGCACAGGCTGGATCCATATTCTCTGATCTGCCTTCCAAATTATCAGGAGTACCTCTGTTTTGTCTGAATTAAGTTTCAATTTGTTTACCCTCATCCAGTCCAGTATTGAAGACAGACATTGGTGTAGGGTCAGAACAGCGTCCCTGGCTTATTGTTTGGATACACAAGAGCAACCAGCAGTCACTGTCCCTCTCCTCTTAACAGGGACTCAGCTAGATCATCTCTTGGAAATGACCATGAACAAACTGGAGCAAGGCTTGAATGAGGGTCCCCATCGAGGCCAGGCCCTCACTTTGTTGTTATGGGTAAGTTTGGGTCATTTTGCCCACTCTCCCTGCTAATAATGCAGAGTCTAGTTCATCTTTCTTTCCCTGCAGGTTTGCAAGGCTCTGTTGCTACGCTATCACCCACTGAGCACTCAACTAACTGAGAAGGTGAGTTTCAGAGAGGAGCTGTGATCTGCAAGAAGTCCAATACAGTGCTAACTTTTTTTGCGTTTTAATGGCTCTTATACTTCTGCCCTACAGCTGCTTGTGCTTTTGGGGGATTTGGTCCTTGGTCCAAAAGTGGGCGATGGCTTTGTGTTGCTCATGGCTGACTCTCCAGATGTTTTGGGCAAGAGCTGCCACGCAGAGGTGCGCCTCATGTTCCGACAGCGCTTTTTCACAGAGTGCGTGCCGCAGTTGGTGCAAAGGTTCCACGCAGCTGCACCTGGTGAGAAGTTCTTTAGTCTCATTCTTTGATAAAAGCATCTCAGTTAGAGAATTTACATTACACTTAATTCAGAGGTGGGCAGAGTATAGCCCAGCAGGGCCATTTTTGTATCCTTCTAGGGCCCTGAGGAGGGGTGTGTGTGTTAAAGTCCTATTGGGGGCATTTCTACCACATAAGGAACACTCTTGGGCCCCTCAGGTTAAAACAAGATAAATGTAATTTTTTCCCAATCTTTTTTGCCCCAAAAAACCCTCTAGGAGATATTTCTACCGCATTTGGGCTTCACACTGGAACAATTTTGCCCAAATAATTTTTTTTATAGAGCAGAAGGTGACCTCCCGTCAACTTGTAGGCATAAAAATGCCTGCAAAGGCCCAAAAACGTGGTAAAAGCGCTGTCTGCATAATTTATGTTGATTTTCTTTTCCTGTGAATGGGAGTGGAACAGTGTTCCTCCAGGGTCTCCTGGGGAACTAATGCAGCCCCTATGCTTTGACAGTTGTCCACCTCTGGTTTAAGTTGATCTAACTCCTCAATTTTACTCAAAATTCTCATATTTCTTGTCTGCCAATTTCTTGGACTTTTAATGTTCTTGTGTTGTTACATAACTAAATACAATTTATTTGATAGGTATTGTTTAGTCTGAACTTACAGTAAGGTTTAGTTCATTGATACTCTGGACTTGATTTTTTAGCTCTTAAGGTGCATCTGGGCTCCCTGGTGGCAAAGCGGGTTAATCTGCTGAGCTGCTGAACTTGCTGACCGAAATGTTGGGGGTTTGAATCCAGGGAGTGGGGTGAGCTCCCGCTTTTAGCCTTAGCTCCTGCCAACATAGCAGTTCAAAAACATGCAAATGTGAGTAGATCAATAGGTACAGCTTCTGCAGGAAGGCAGCGGCGTTTCATGCAGTCCTGCTGGTCAAATGACCTTGGAGGTGTCTTCAGATAATGCCAGCTTTTCAGCTTAGAAATGGAGATGAACATCCCCCCCCCCCCCCCCCCCCCCCCCCCCCCAGGGTCAGACACGGCTAGGCTTAATGTCAGGGGAAACCTTTACCAAGATGAATCTATATGGTAGAATTAATGCAGTTTGACACCATTTTAACTGTCCTGGTTCAGTGCTATAGAATCCTGAGAGTTGTAGTATGCTAAGGTTCCAGCACTCTTTGGCAGAGCAAGCTAAAGATTTTGTAAAGCTACAACTCCCATGGTTGCATGTTATTGAGCCATGGCAGTTAAAGTCGTGTCAAACTGCATTAATTCTACAATGTAGATGCACTTCTCGATACAGAATCAAGAGATACAGAGTCAAGAGAATGTTTTGGTTCTTTTATTTTTAGAAGAGGAGAAACAGCTGAAGCAATTTTCTGCTTCTTCCTGTCAAATGTTTTGTATTACCAAGAGAGTGTTACATTTAACTGAAGACAAGAAAGCTCACAATTCTATGTTGGTTGGCTTTACAGTAATTTTTTCTTCCAAAATGGTACAGCTGGGTTTGTTTTCTTTGATGACAACAAGAGGTTTTCATTATATAAGCTGCAAGTATGCAAAAACATTTATTGAAGACTATCCTCTTTGAAGTTGAGAACTGAGTACCTATGCTCCTCTTTCCCCCAGATATGAAATCAAATTATCTGAAAGCCTTGTCTCACATACTGAACCACTTGCCCAAACCTGTGCTGGTGACAGAGTTGCCTTCGGTGAGTAGCCACGGGATTGGATACTAAGCTATGTCTTGCCTGGATGGGTATATAGTAGAATTACATTCTTCTCTTTGTTTTTCCCACAGTTGTTATCTCTGTTGTTAGAAGCTTTGTCATGCCCTGATCATGTGGTTCAGATGTCAACATTGCACTGTCTGCAGCCGTTGTTACTCGATGCACCTCATATCATGAGCCTGCATATTGACACACTGGTGGGCAAGTTTCTCAGCTTGACAGACAGCCCCACTATGGTGAGTAATATGTAACCTTTCGGTATGCAGCTGGCTCAATCCTGTCCAGTGTAGTATTTCCTTCTTGTCATGAAAGACTAAATGCCTGCCATCTTTTGTTTTGCAGGCAATCCGCATTGCTGCTCTTCAGTGCCTTTATGCACTTGCCTCTTTGCCCACCCCAGTGGTAAGTGATGGCTCTGCCTTTGCAAATTCTTTTCTTTGGGCATTACAGTCTGCCCTTGACATTTGTGGATTTCAAATTTGTGGTTTTGATCATTCATGAACATGTACCACCACCTCTTGAAGTTGGAGCTGGTATGTGAACATGGTAACTCCGTCCTCAGGAGATGAGTGTCATGTTTTGACAAGTCCTGGTTCTCCAAACAGAAGTTTCACAAGCAGCAGAACAACAAAACAAATGCTACAGTCCTTGTAAACTAGCCATATGGGAGTATTTCTTTGAACCATTGAGAGTGAGATAAAGCCAAAGTCCTGAATCCAAGTTGCCATGGTCATGCCAGAGGAGTTTCAGAGTTGAGTCAGGAATAAAATAAGCCATAATTCAGGCCCACGGTCAAGAAAACCAGTAGTACAAAAACAGCAAAGTCCAAAATTCAAAGCAACAATCAAAATACGGTAGTCAAAGTCACTGTCCAGAATCAACAAAACAGATAATCCAAAGAGTCAAGATTCACACCACAGAGCAACTATGTTGTCTCCAACCACAAGGCTTCACTTTGAGAGCCTGTTATTTATTTATTATTATTTAATATATTTGTATCCCGCCTTTCTCACCCTAAAAGGGGACTCAGGGCATCCTTACAGCAGGCAGCAATTCAATGCCAATACGTATAAATATAAAAATGAACAAATACAATTAAACATTAATGATTAAAACATCAATTAAAATAACGTAATCCAGATCGTAGTCCGAGGCCTGTCCATTTGTCAATTCTATTAGTCTGTTACCCTTATTGCACTATTTACTGGTTGAATGCTTGGTCCCACAGCCACATCTTAAGTTTCTTCCTGAAAGACAGATGGGAGGGAGCTGACCTGATTTCATTGGGGAGGGACTTTCGAGGGGCCACCACTGAAAAAGACCCTGTCTCGTCCCCAGCAATCACACTTGCGAAAGTGGTGGGATCAAGAGCAGGGCCTTCCTGCATGTTATCCTATACTGTCAGGTGTTGCCTGTGTAAAAGTTGTTTTTCTTCTAATTGGGCAGACCTTCAGGCTGCAGCACTTTTTTCTGTATTCTAAAAGGGACAGTGCATGTAATCCTTCATCAGTCTGGCCTAATGTACTGGCTTCTGCTTTGGCCACCTGCTGGGAAGTGGTGGCTGCTGCTGAAAGCTCCTATTCTGCAATAGCTAAGCTAGGCTGGGGGGCTGCTGGGAGCTTGTAGTCTCCAACTTTGGCCCTTCTAGCAACCCCTCATCCTCACTCTGAATTGACCAGGACAGTGAGTAGGAGGGTATTCAGGAGCTGAGCATGCAATGTGTTTCTGTTTCTCCCAATACCTCATTCCTTTGCCCAGGTGAAATAGATTCATCGTTGAGCCTAGAATTCCAGGTTTCAGCACTGGCCAGAGGAGCTTTCACACAAAACTTGTGTGCCAGTTGCACCCATACCTTGGGAAGTCAGACTTGGCCACAGTGATCCATGCTCTTGTTACATCAAGACTAGATTACTGCAACACATTCTACGTGCTGTTGCCTTTGAAGACTGTTCAGAAACTTCAAATGGTCCAACAAGTAGCAGTCAGATTTCTTTTTTCTCTCTCTCAAAATTATTGTGAATAGTGCAACACAAAATTATATAAACATTCAAAACATTTTCCATTGGTAACACGTGTTTACATCATTCCCCCTATTTCTCCCTCCCACCTCTCCCTGGGAACAGTTTACAATTTTTTATGTATTTATTACGATTGTTCAATCATGAGGATAATCTTATTTAAGTCCTTATATTTACCTTTTTTCTTTCTTCTGTAAATTAAGCCTTTCCATTTTGCCTTCTATGACTTTCTGATTTGGCCCATCCTGTAGTAACTTTTCCTTTCACTAATGTAGTCTTGCCCTAAACAGACCCCTGCCCTAAACAGTTCCATAAAAAAGAACCCCAAATATAGTCTTGGAGGAGGTAATCCACTAAATATTATACCATGTTTTTGTGTCTCATTTCTTTTGGTCCTTCCAGCCTAAAGCAGCAGAAACTTTAATAGCATCTAACATGTAATTTATTAATCCTCACCGGAGCAGGGTACAGGGAGCACACAACTCCCCTGTTACGCGAGCTCCACTGGCTGCCAGTTTGCTACAAAGCACAATTCAAAGTGCTGGCTTTAGCTTATAAAACCCTAAACCAGGGGTCCTCAAACTTTTTAAACAGAGGGCTAGGTCACAGTCCCTCAAATTGTTGGAGGGCCAGATTATAATTTGAAGGAAAAAAAAGAATGAATTCCTATGCACACTGCACATAACTTATTTGTAGTGCAAAAAAAACCCACTGAAAAATAATACAATAATTAAAATGAAGAACAATTTTAACAAATATAAACTTATTAGTATTTCAATGGGAAGTGTGGGCCTGCTGATGAGGTAGGATTGTTGTTGTTGTGTGTGTTCAAGTTGTTTCAGACTTAAGTTGACTGTGAGTGAGGGCCGGGTAAATGACCTTGGAGGGCCGTATCCAGCTCCCGGACCTTAGTTTGAGGACCCCTGCCCTAAACAGTTCCAGCCCAGCTTACCTTTCTGAATGTATCTCCCTCACAGATGTTAAGATCTTCCAGGGAGGCCTTGCTCTCTATCCTTCCTGTGTTGCAAGTGCAGTTGGTAGGGATGAAGGACAGGGCCTTCTCAGTGGTGGCTCCCCGGCTCTGGAACTCCCTCCCCAGTGAGATTAAATCAGCACCCTCCCTCCTGGCATTTGGAAAGAAAATAGAGATGTGGTTGTGGGACCAAGCTTTTGGCCAGTAAAATGCAGTGCCAAAAATTAGGAAATATGTGCAATAACAATTGGAATGGCTATGGTGTACAATTTTTGGATCGTGTGATTTTAATATTTATACTAGGATGTTTTAATGCTTTGTTTTAATGTTTAAATGTTGTTTACGTCTTATGTTTAATGATTTTAATTTATAGTTATATGTTAGTGTTCAGTTGTTAGGGTTTTCTTTTTCTATATGTATATGGCATTAAATTTTTGCCATTAATGTGCTGCAAACCACCTTGAGTCCCCCCCTTGGGTGAGAAAGGCAGTATATAAATATGGTAAATAACTAGTAAATAAATAGACGCTCAGGACATAGAGGAAGAAGAGCAGGAATAGGCCCTGAGCACTGTTTCACTTATCCTGTGGACACTGGCTCCTCTTCCTCTTCCTTCTTCAGTGAGTTTGGTTTCGTCCAGGAAAAGGGAGGGAGGTACCAGGCAAAACAGAAATATGTAGTGTATAGAAAGAGGAAAAGCAGACAAGATCTGTATAGTAAAATAATGTTGCAGGTGGTTGCTCCCCCTGCTCTTTCCTCTGGGACTGCACTGTGTAGTTCCTCCTCCAAGAGACTGTAGCCATGGCAACACCCTCCTTCCAAAATATTAGTGATTTTCCACTTTTACTGAGGGGAGGGCTTGTCCTAGTGAAAGTGGATAGACTATAATTTCTTATTATTACACCAGTAGAAGCTGTTGAGCCCCTACTAATTCCGTTTTCTGCACACTGTCAGGTAATTCCCTACAAAGCGCGGGTGATCAAGGCACTAGCCAAACCCTTGGATGACAAAAAACGTCTGGTGCGAAAAGAAGCTGTGGCAGCACGAGGAGAGTGGTAAGTAGATAATAACTGTCAAACAGATTATCATAGGCAGTCTCTCATGGCCAAGTGTGATTGTCTTCCAAGTGTATAGAACAGAACTGAGCTACTGTTGAAGGGCTGCATTGGCTCACTAGACACACCTCTCTGCTGCTCCATCTTAGTCCCAAGATGGCCTGCAAAGTTTGGGGATGTTGTTTTAGGCCAACAGCAGAATTTTCCTCCAGAAGAAAGTGACCGGGAGGTCTTCCAGGCAGGAAAAATATGTGGCCCAGAAGCCATACTTTTTCCATTTCTGTTGTGGAAAAATGTTCACTATTCTTAAATAGCAGTCTTAATCATTATGCTCCCTTGGTGCTCACTGCTGTGAGCCAGGTGGCTAATATTCAGTTTGGATATTTGAATTTGGATCAGGGTTTTATTCATTGCTGTCATCAAAACTAATGTTACCTTCTTGCTCTTCAGGTTTCTTCTTGGGACCCCTGGCAGGTGAAGATGCACAGTGAGGCTCAAGATGGAGAATCTCACCTGCCAAGTTATCTGCCTTGACATCATGTGTTCTGCATTTCCTTGAAAGCAGCAGGGCTCTGGGCACAAGTGGAGGACCTTTTTTATGGGCTGCCATTTCTGTGTGTTGGCACAGTCCTAACCACATCTGGGTCCAGTAGGATGCAATGGCCAGCTGAATCTTGCAGCAGCAATGCAGTTCGTGGAGATGACAGGATGCCTGCACACTGTGTGTGTGGAGCCAGAAGAATAAACAATTTGTTTCCTAACAGCCTCTGGAAAAAGGTGAATCTTGTGGGAAGGGAAACAGTAGAGGAAGGGAGCTCGGTGCTGCTGTTGGCCTTTGTCCCAACTTCCATTTTAAGTTTTAAATTCTAGATTTCTAGCAATTGCCACAAGTGTATCAACAAAAATAGAAAGCTCAGCCTCTTGTGAGAAACTGCTCTGTGTCTATTCATTCAAAATCCATTTTTGCATAATTGATCTTCTCTAGCAATAGCAAATTGTTGGGATGGGGGAGTTTAAAAGTTCAAAGGGGAACATTCAATGGCTTCCGGGTATTTTATGTTACATCATGGAATTTCTCAGATAAAATGTAGCAAAACAGGGACCATTTCACTATATAAGTTTAATTCTCAGGCAGGACAGTTTGCAACCACTGTTAAACCTGCAATATGCAGTCCTTTCCTGGCACTATCCTATATAATTGCTGCTCACTGTCAAGCAGTTGCTATCCTGGGTTTAGGATATATAGAAACCAGCAAGGCTTCTGGGAGAGACTCTACATGGAGGTTGGTTTTTGTTGTTATTGTTTATTCATTCATTCAGACCAGACCATTCTGGCAGCCACCCCCATCTCCTCCAAGGTCAAGCCAGTCACTATAAGGATACCATCCACCCATCTTGCCCTTGGTTGGCCCCTTTTCCTTTCATTTTCCTTCCATTTTCCCCAGCATCATTGTCTTCTCCAAGCTTTCCTGTCTTCTCATTATGTGGCCAAAGTATTTCATCTTTGCCTCTAATATCCTTCCCTCCAGTAAGCAGTCAGGCATTATTTTCTGGAGTATGGACTGGTTTGATCTTCTTGCGGTCCAAGGCACTCTCCAGCACCACAGTTCAAAAGTGCCTATCTTCCTTACCTCAGCCTTCCTTATGGTCCAGCTCTCGCATCCATAAGTTACTACAGGGAATACCACTGCTTTAACTATGCAGATCTTTATTGCCAGTGTGATGTCTCTACTCTTAACTATTTTATCGAGATTGGTCATTGCTCTCCTCCCAAGAAGTAAACTTCTTCTGATTTCCTTGTTGCAGTCTGCGTCTGCAGTAATCTCTGCACCTAGAACTACAAAGTCTGTCACTGCCTCCACATTTTCTCCCTCTATTTGCCAGTTATCATTCAGTCTTATTGCCATAATCTTGGTTTTTTTATGTTCAGCTTCAACCCAGCTTTTGCACTTCCTTCTTTCCCCTTGGTTAGAAGGCTCAACTCCTCCTCGCTTTCAGCCATCAAAGTGGTATCATCTGCATATCTAAGGTTGTTAATGTTTCTTCCAGCCATTTTAACTCCCGCCTTGGATTCAATGAGTATTTTTTTAGAAATACTCATATGATTAGAATATTGTTGAACGATCACAAGCGTCTGTTTCCATTTTGGATGTTGCATAAAATAGCCTTGTAGACCAGGGGTACTCAAACTAAGGCCTGGGGGCTGGATGCAGCCCTCCAAGGTCATTTACCTGGCCCTCACTCAGAGTGAAACGACTTGAAAGCGCACACAACAACAACAATCCTTTCTCATCAGCCAAAAGCAGGCCCACGCTTCTCATTGAAATACTAAGTTTATATTTGTTAAAATTGTCCTTCATTTTAATTATTGTATTATTTTAAAGTGTCTTTTGCACTACAAATAAGATGTGTGCATAGGAATTCATGTTTTTTCAAATTACAATCCGGCCCTCCAACAGTTTAAGGGACTTTGACCTGCCCTCTGTTTAAAAAGTTTGAGGACCCCTGTTGTAGACACATCAGTTAACATATGTGCTAGTTTATGCACTCACCTTCATCAGTTTAATGATAAACAGAGTTGGAAATGTCTAGAGAGACATGTCTACATATTCTCAAGGGAAAGCCATAAAATAGTGCTGCACCTGTGGATAGAAGTTTCTTAAAGCAGTTGAGTTTATGATCTGCATCAAGAAAGCTCTGTGGTCACCACTGCTTCATCTAAGATTTTCAGAAACCAGGGTTGGGATAGATTGCTGCTGCTTGCATAATGAGCACATCTCTTCCTGCTCTTAAATGCTTAATCATAACATTGTTTTGAAACTCATCAGACACTGAATTAACCTGCAATAAATGCTAAGGCGCCAAAGGAGCCTTAATCACTCCTTAAGACTTGTGTGGGTTGCACAGGAAGTGAGAAGTACTTACTGGAAATGTACATGCTCCCTAATCAAACACTGAACTCAGCTTCAAACCAGCCGCATGTTTCTTCAAATTTCTTAAATTTTTTTTGTAGGTAAATTTCACATGGTAGTAATGAAACATTGCTAATTTATAGGGTTCTGTACACTCCCCCCCCCCCCTCCACAACTCTACTGAACCACTAGTAGTTGCATATGAATTACATAGTGTGTCCACTTCCAGGTCTTTCTTTCATTTGACAGTGCGAACATGAGCCTCTCTACGACAGGAGCTTGCAGGGAGTGTAATTCGAGGCTAGCCTAGATAAAGTAAAATGGAAATTGGCAGAAGGTGAAACGTCCTGGGTAATTTATCTGCAAGAGAGGAAATCCAATTTATACAGTGCCTGAACCTATTTTTTCTGAGTCGTTCTCTAAGTTCTATGAAGTCCTGTTACTGAAGGATTCCACAGTTTGTCTTGCTTAGATATTATCATCATAACCCCATCCTTTTTCTCCCTGTAGAGAAATTGGCAGCACATGTTAAAAACATCTTTTATTTCTACATCTTTTTTTTAAAAAAAAATCCTGCCTTAGAGGGGTGGCAGCAGGACCCTGGCATGTCAGCCAGCCTCCATGAGTTTTGGGGATGAGGATCAGGGGGCAGATGCTATCATCCCATTGGGAACAACACCACTTTGTCCTAGAGGTTCAGGCAGGGATCGTGTGCAGAAACACAAAACAGATGTGAGCAAGACATCCTGGTTTCACCTCAGCCGCCTGCAGCTGGGGGTTCCTCGGCTTTCCTCCTAAGGCTGTTGCAGTAAGCAGTTCACTTCGGATGATCCAGCAAGAGTGAATTAGGTCACTTCAGGCACTGAACTTTCTGTTATGCTTCTCAGTGAGAGCAACCTGTAGCCTTTAGTCTTGCATCAGTAGGTGTAATCCATTCCTTATTCAACTCAGATCGCCAACAGAGGAGCCTTCTGTTCAGCTACGCAGGGTGGAGTGTCCCAATGCAGGCCAGTACCATAGGGTGGGTGGGTAGATGGCAGCAGAAATCGAGTAAACCAGTGCCTAGAAGGGAGCAGATCCTTCAGAATGACTGTTGGAGAGCAGGATCTCATACAACAATGGTTCTCAACCTGTGGGTCCCCAGATGTTTTGGCCTTCAACTCCCAGAAATCCTAACAGCTGGTAAACTGGCTGGGATCCCTGGGAGTTGTAGGCCAAAACACCTGGGGACCCACAAGTTGAGAACCACTGCCATGCAGAAAGGTGTTTATAACCTAAGGCCTAAGGTGTTGTAAAAAACCTTGAAGGCTCCACCATTACTTGGAATCCAAAACTACATACAGAAGAGTCTCGCTTATCTGACATTCTGTCTTATCTGACGTCCCCCTTTTCTTCCAAAATTTCCCCTTCAATTAAAGGAGTGCTCCCCAACTCTCTCTCAATTCCCAATAAGTTTAAAAGGCAAGACGAGGAGGAGGAAGGAGGAAAGGGGAAAAAGAGGCAGGACCGGAAGCAGAAGTGTCCTTCTTCCCTCTGATTTCTACACTTCTCTTCTGCATCCGGGCACTTCCTGCTGGGCTTCTCTAGCCCCAAGGTGTGGCCTTTCCTTAACCCTTTGAACCCCTGTTGTTAGTATTCTGGGTGTCTAGCGCCGCGTCAGACGGGTAACAGTAGAAGACTCCATATTATCCAACATTTTCGTTTATCCGATGTTCTGCTGGCCCGTTTATGTCAGATAAAGCAAGGCTCTACTATATTTGTAACTGCTTAACCAATTACAACCACTTTGTCTATTCACTACACCAAAGTATGCACCAGCCAGTTTCTTCTTGTTCCTCCTGTTTCTTACCTTTGCGTCTCCAAACCCAGGAAAACTTTCCAATTCCCTAAAGGGCCATAGTTGTATGGATTTCGAAACACCTATAAAGGAAGGGAAAAACAGAATCCTATTCCAGCAGTATTTTTCTGTACTGTGTAGCATCCCTTACTGAAAGAGCCCAAAATGCAATTCAACCAATGGAATAATTCAGCTGATCCAATAAATGCAAACTCCTAAAATCTCTTTTGAGGTGTTACAGCCGAGTTATTCTTTGCAATTACAGCTCCGATTTTCCCACCCAGTATAATTTCTGGCCATGCTGGCTGGGGGATTATGAGAGCGGTAGTCCCAAGTAATTTGCATATGTCTGATAGTATCGGCTTCTTGAGATTTAACTCTTCAGAGTTCCAAAGTATTTTTTCCAAGATCTACCGGCGGAGTGGGAGCTTCATCTGTTCCAAATCTCATGTATTCCACACAATAAAATAAATAAACTTTCATGGGACCCTTCCCTAAACAAATGAGCTCAGTCACTGCCTTGCCTCCATCCCAATTCATCATTTGATTTCTCACCTTGCCCTTCAATCTGAGCCTTCTTTTTTCTTTGCGGTTGATGTGTCTTTCAATGCTGGTCTCGCCACGCGTGATGAGGACAGAATGCCAGATCATGAGGGCACCTAAAGCCAAGGCTACTGAACTGGAAATTGAAGGAGGACAGTTGTAAAATGCCAAAGAGCTGAGAAAATTATCAAATGCTCAGAAAGTGTCAGTTGGGGAAAGCTCTGGGCTGTTGACTTTTGCAAAGCATAGAGGAGAAGACAGATGGACAGAGTTGAGTAAGAAGGTTGAACTATCCGCCTTCAGAAAGCAGTCTGGACAGTTGTCCTCCTTTCTCCCCATAAGCAGTATCAACCAAACAGATTAGTTACCTGCAAAGGACCCAGGCATACACTATACTCTTGTGGAAAGCTCGCTGGCGGAAGGAGAAGGTAGGTGGTGGTGTCTGAGAGTAAGTCTGCAAGGAAAAGCAAATGTTGCAGTGATCAGAGGTCAAAAAGACAGCCATGGCAGTTATGAGGATGACGCAGAAGGCTTTGAAGGGCAGATGAATGGATGGACAGCACAGCAGACAAGACTACACCTGCCAAGTAACAAGGACCTCAATGATCATGAATCAGTGACGGACAGAGCATGGGTACT